ACCGAAAACTTTATTAAATTTTCGTGCCAAATGTCAATGTCAGTAAGTAAAACGTCACAGCTGCCAATTTTTTGTTTTTTTTTTTTTTTTTTATGCGATTTGTCTATTATTTTACATGGTCCATCAAGTTAAATCACCAAAAAAGCTGTTTTCGTTCATTCTTTTTGTATAGTCTGTGGAAAGAAAATATTAAACTCTGTTTTAGCTATCAAAGGTTTATAAACGATTATGAATAACGTTTTTTATCAGAGGTTTATAAGAGTGTTTTAAGCCTATCAAACGTTTTAGCTAATGTAGGTTTTAAACCTATATTAGCATTTTATTATGAATAAGACCGAAAATGTATAGAACTTGCTCGATATTTTGTTTAAAAAAAACAATTTAAATTCTGATCCCAATGTAACATTTAAATGTTACAAAAAGTTAAGATCACTAAAAAGTTCCATTCTGTTTCAGAAGAATTTTATCATAATCTTTCTGCAAATTCCATGAACCATACACGAAAGGTTACAACACAAAGTTTAGCAAAAGTAAATAAACAATATTGCTTACAAAATAGCCAACCTAAAATAGCACTAGGTGGGTACAGTTAACAATTTCTCTAAATGTCAGTGAGTGTAGGCGGAAACACACGCAGGGAATGGCGTTTGCCCGGATATTACTCGGCTCGCACGGCGTGTTCCTTCGACTTTCCTTGAACGTCCTTTGGCACATCCACGCCGAAGGCCAAATTGGAGTGTAATTTTATTGGAAACCTGTTTACTATCACTATTTACTTTATCAAAGTGTAGCAGACTATATTGACCGTTACGAACATTAAAATTAGTTGTTAAAACAGCTAAATAATCGAGTTAATGCGTCAAATAGTGTGTGAAGATTATATCATGTATTATCATCATTTCAGCTACAGGAAGGAATAGCTGAAAATAGGCCTTCCCAAAAGATTTACAGGTTGACCGGTTTGCCGTGTGCATGAGCGTTCTTGCAACCTGTATCGCGTATATCTATGCTTATGTTAAAGTTCAAGTCAGTTAAAACTGAGTACTTCAGTAACTTCTCAGTTTTAACTGAACTGAATTTTGTGTGCAACGTTGGATTTAGTTAAATTCAAAATTAATAGCCTTATCGGTCATCCATTAACTAAATAAATAAATAAATTCTTTATTTCCACCACAACATTACATGTTCACTATATTGCATTACATAATGAAGTTGAGAGTTGTTAAGTTGAAAATAGGGTAAGTAAACACATAATATTGGAGAGGACTGGAGCCTAAACTAGGAAATTCCTGTATTTCAGGCCTCCAGACTCTCCGTCCGAACCGTGTGTAATTGTTTAATTTTGCTTAACTAGTATACAAATATAGAAAAAGAAATAAAAATATACCAGAGAATCTAAGATAATCTAAACCTAAGTAACTCAGGAGGTGAGAGTGTGGATGCGTGTGTGTGTGTGTGTGTGTGTGTGTGTGTGTGTGTGTGAGAGAGAGAGAGAGAGTGTGCGAGATGATGACTGTTGTGTAAGCGTGTAAACGTGTAATTTATTATTATTATTTATTAACTCCCATAATAGTTCCTACCAATGCCTGGCAATGACGTTCGATGAAAGGTCTGTAAAACGGTCACAGTCACAGCACTCCGGTCGAATTTTCCCATTCATTAAGATTCGCTAGCCTGTTCATTGAGTGTCGTGAGCCGTCATTCATTAACAGAGTCGACTCTAGGCCTTGAAACATAATTTAGCTTTTTCTGTTTGACCGAAACTCGCATTGGTATTCAACTGTAACGATTGTGTTGAGCGGAATTGCTTTTTATTTGCACTTTTTTGGGGAGTTCTTGGATTGGCACAATTAAAGACAAAATTACAATAAATTAATAATAATTATATTTTGAATAAGTCATGTTTAAATTTAAAACTCCAAGTCCTTGGCATGGACGCCGAATGGATGGTCCTTATGATCTAGACCCCTGTAAACAAAAAAAAACATTCAAATAATTTTAAAGCTTACATTTTAGTCGCTAAGCATAGAGCTAAAAACAAAAAATACCGCGTAATGTTACAATATACGAACGCGTCAGTAATTTCTCCCTTGTAACTTTGAAATTGGCTTGGATTCGATTCCAAGACCGAGCTTTATCTTTTATAGGTGACATTTATTAACTTTGACCTGAAATAAGGCGATTAAATATACCGCCAGATCAATAGACTGTGCCAAATGTCGCAGACTTTGCCAAAATACGACTTTACGATATACGATATGCCATTGTTCAGTGGCTAAATGGATTAAAAATTAAAACACATTTTATCGAGCAAATTAATCAGTTTAGTCCTGATTTAGTTCTGTTCCATTAGCTTTTAATATTTTTATGAATATTAATTTAGGACTTGCTACATTAATTATTATTTAAAGTATTTTAAAGCTACATAAATCTAAGTAGGTAACTTTTACCCAGAAAAGAAGATTGTAATGTTCTTAACTCTTTATCGTGGTAAGAATTTAGGTGATAATTCTGAACTTACTCATCTTCCAATACGAAGCGACCGTTGCACTCCAAAGTAGAAATATCAGCGACATCCTCTTTTGTCAACGTGAAATCCCATATACTGAAGTTCTCCAACATACGTTTTGGGTTTGAGGACTTTGGGATCACGATCATTCCGCGGTCGATGTGGTATCTGCATGTCGATTCTATAAAATTCTAACAAAAACTCCCTTCACCCAACGATGTCCAGAGTCCCTTCACTTAAGTTACAAAATGACCTTGATTCGGCATTCTGTAAACATTTCTCAGCGCGAGTGATGAGAAGTGAACAGTGAGGCGGCCTAGGGATTGACACACGCAACAAAAATGTTAGTCGAGTTTTTCGATTCAAGTTTTTTATTTAAAATATTGGGATTTTGGCACAAAACTTGAAGTCATTATTTATTTCTTTAACTTAAATGTCATAATCTGAACAAATTAAGGCAGATTTTACGTTAAAAACTAGAAATCTCTAATTCATAGCATATACCTACATAATCTGTGCTGTTACAAACGAAACAAAATGTCAAATTTACTTGTTGATTTTAAACAATATTTATTATGTAATTGTATGTGAATGTACCTATTGTGAACTCGTTAGCTTTATATCAAACCCTTTGAAATCTATTTTAAATTGTGTAATAATATCAATGTAATAAAAAAATAACTTTACTTAGGCTTACCTTTACTCGAGTTGAAATCCATTTTGCCTTTAATAAAAACATTCGTGTCATCCCTAATATGCATAATTTTAACACATTTGAACACTAATAAAAGTAATTTTAATGCAATTTTCTAAAACTCCGTCTATTCTCACTCACAAAATACTAACTTTTTATTTGACATTTTGGAGCGCATTCGAGTGCGAAGTGTGTTTCGGAATGGGGCTGGAATTTCCTTACAGAATGCCACTCAAAACGTCATCCCATACAAAATCTCACGATCAATTAGTTCAACCCGCTGCCGCGCCGACAAGCGTAGCGCTAGAGTAAATTCGTGCCGACGATCGAGTTTATAGAATGCAAATCTAAAAACTCATCGCGGATTTAGTTGCGATGTCTAGGTGAAGGTTTTATAGAATCGCACTGCTGGAGGTATAAATAACATAAAAACTTTTTAGCATTAAAAAAATACATGGCAATGTGATTATGTGACGTGCAATAAAATAATTTGAATTTGAACACACTTTCGCAAATAAGGGTTTGTCAATCAAATGTTGATTGCAATTGCAAAAGTATCTCTTAACTAAGTATAAGCTATTGTTAAAGAATGAATAGACACATACAGACGGAAATGATGATTTTACATAATTTTTAAACCATTTAATCCATGCATTACTGGATTTACTATGTAGTACTACTTTTATTATTTTTCAAGATAAGATAATATTATACACAAGGCATTTGTTGAATGGTAGAATGACTTCACAAATGTTAAGTCATCGGTCATCCAAGCATTATTGTACACAAAATTATAAGTTTATCAATATACTTAAGCCATCGAAGTACTTATTATATTACCCGTCATCATAACGTTATCTTGGAATACTCACTATATCAATAATAGGTACTATTAATAAGAAGAACTCTTTGTAATTGTATTTAATCCACTGCCTGCCTTAAAATAGTGGTCAAAGTTGCTTACCTAATTAAAACTTGCGCTGTAGTCTTCTTGTACTTATTGGCCACTGCCTTTATTTTGGGATCGTCTAACAGGCTCGGATCTTCTGGCTTAGCCCATGGACGAGCAGGGCTTCCGAGCGGGCTGTATGCCGTGATGGTGATGCCACGCGCCTTGCAGAACTCGAACAACTTCGTCTGTGGCAGGCACGGGTGAGACTCCACCTAAACATAGAGTTAGAGTAAAAGATCGTCAATTGTCTCTACATCAGACGTTATTAGGATGCAGAAATCTTTCTCTACAAACACTGGTCAAACCATCATTGATCTACCATGTATTGGTAAAAATCAACTAGCTCACCTTACTAGAGCATCAATGATAGGTATTACATGGTATTTCTTTGCATCTACATAAAAACACAAACAGTAAAATTACTAAAGCAAGCAGCAACCTCAATTTTCACACATAATACTTACTTGATTGGTCACCGGCTTGATTTTAGCAATTCCCAACACTCTGTCAATTTGTTTCGAATTGAAATTGCTGAGACCGATGCTTTTGACCAGACCCTTTTCAACTAAATTTTCCATTGCTTTCCACGTGTCAACGTAATCGACGTCAGAATAGTAGCATTTTCCATTAGCATCTAAAGGTATAAGGTTATCGCCTTCCTAAAAGTAACGAATAAACTATTTACACACCTATCAGACACAGGCTTTATTTTTTTTTCCAATACGTGCGGGTTTATCGAGAACTCACCTTGTAAGCCATAGGCCAATGTATAAGGTATAAGTCCAGATATTCCAATCCGAGCAGGGACAAAGAAACCTTTGCCATCTTTTCTACCAAATCCGGCCTGTGATATGTATTCCATAACTTCGAAGTTACAAAAAGGTCTTCCCTGTAGGTAAAGAATAAAACAAATATTTAGTGGATCTCGACTGCTCGGTTACGGTCGTCGGTATAGTTACCGAACACCAATAAAATCTAAAAACACCGCATTGACTGAAGTAATAACACCTAAAGCAAACTACTTAATGTTGTTAGATATTAAGGTTCTTTTAACTGTTGTTGTTCTTGAATAAAGTGCCTTTCTATGTCTAAAGATAAAACATAATTTTGATTTATGTTTTTAAGTGATTAGCACTCGTGCGAAGCTGGTGCGGTTCGCTAGACATTGAAAATGTTAGAAGCTTGAACTTTCGTCTTGAGATTATTTCTGAGAATCTGATGCCAGTAACCTCATCATCTATTGGAGTATAATATACCTCTATAATTATTTTTATTTTACGGGTTCCTGACTTAAAGTTATCTTTCACAACCTTGCGTGTTAAACGGTTAAAATTAAAGGCGATTTAGCTACCGGTAGGAAATTACATACCTTTTTACTACTCCCTGTTGAATCTTATCCCTGATCGCCTGTCCGACCTCCTTTTCGTTATCGTAAAAGTACGCACCATCGATGTGCCGATAACCCATGTCGATCGCTTCGCATATCGCGCGGTACACGTCGTCGCCAGACTCCGCCTGGATGACCAGCCAAAATTGACTTTACATGACAATATCCATAATTAATTATTAATAATATCTATATTTTATCCATAAGGTTATTGTTACAATATCCATTATTATTTTATAACTCACAAAATAAATAGAGACTTAATTAACCAAAAATCTTTTTCACACACATAATATAAATTATAATAAGAAAAAACCGGCCAAGTGCGAGTCGGTCTCGCGCACCGAGGGTTCCGTACCATTGATTTATGAAATTAAAATTATTATTTTTTATTTAAGTTATTAGTATGAAAGATTACGCGGTAATAAGCGGTTTACGATTTACGAGGTATTAAAAAAACTACTTACTAGATCTCGTTCAAAACAATTTTCGTTGGTAGTTTTTATAGTAATGTACATCATATGCTTTTTTAGATTTTTCATTTTCTTATTTTAGAAGTTAGAGGGGGGGGACCAACTTTATTCCACTTTGGAAGCGTCTGTCACGCAAACTATTCGGTTTAGAAAAAAAGTATTTTAGAAACCTCGATATCATGTTTGAAGACCTATCCATAGATACCCAACACGTATGTGTTCGATGAAAAAAAATTTTTTGAAGTTTCAGTTCTAAGTATGGGGAGCCCCCAATATTTATTATTATTTTTTTATTTTTGCATTAAAATCTTAATGCGGTTCACAGAATACATCTACTTACCAAGTTTCAACAGTATAGCTCTTATAGTTTCGGAAAAAAATGGCTGTGACATACGGACGGACAGACAGACAGACATGACGAATCTATAAGGGTTCCGTTTTTTGCCATTTGGCTACGGAACCCTAAAAAGTACTCGCGATATCATTGTCTTCATCGTATCTTCAGACGGAGTAAAGCTACACTTTTATCATTAAAATATTTTCAAGGTTAGGTAATTATAAACAGGTGTAGATATGTCTGCTAGTAAAATAACGATAGGTATTGAGATATTGACTCCCAGATATCAAGATAAAAAACATCTGACAAGTTATCACGTCTGAAATCGATTTGGTATTGCAGAACCGGGCATAATAATAATTTACGGCCGGTTCTCAAATTATCTAGGGTTAGCACAGCATCCTCAATCGCACATTAGCATCACATCCGTACAGTCGTGTTCAGGTCCGTAGTGCGTAGTGCAACAGGTTCAGTAAATATTATAGGTACATATTTTACTAAGTAGCTGTGCTCACTTCACTACTGCTACCTACTTGCGATATTTATAAAGCGGTTCAGTTTTCTTTTACATATGAAAGAAAAACAGTTTTCTTATGTAGGTATTATTATGATTTTTATTCAAGACTTGAGTAGAGTACCTACATTAAAACTCAAAGAACACATCATCAAAAAATTGACTGCACTACTAATTAGGTTGAGATAAATAAAAGAAGAACGTGCATTATGTAGAGTTGGAACTTTTGGAAGAGCCTAAAATTAACCAAATTGAAAGTTCATTGCTCTGAATGCTCTTCCTAGGATAAATCATTTTGTAGTAACTGACATCTCTCCGTGGACAACAACATTTGAATTTTCGATTCCATTTCCATTGCATTACTTAATGGCAACGATCTTAACTGTGCTGCCACACTTTGACCAAAATAATAAAACTCGTCTTTATAGTCTACCGTTGTGATATTTTTTTCCAGTCTTTGCAATGAATTAATAATTTCATTGTGAGGTTCTGCACATTTTGTTCTATTCTGAATTCTTTTTCTTGCAACCATTCGGTATCGCTTATTTGAATGTTTTTGACTGGAATGTGATTGTGGTTCGAGTGCTTCACTTATACGAGGAGACTTCTGAGGTTGTTCCAGTGCTTCAGAACTTTCAGAAGAAGGCCGCTCTCGCTTGAGTGTTTCGGTACTTGTTTGAGGAGAAGCCTGTTGTATCTGTCGTAGGAATAAAATACAGGTGTTAATAATTTACACAACGCAACAAAAGGAACACAGAAATTAACTTTCGAACTAAATTGGACTTTTGTTACTTACCTCGAAACATATTGTCTTTTGAAAAGTATCTTTTAAAAAATCCATTTCTTCAAACCACTTCAAACTAGGTTTATAAACATCACTTTCCACGGCTCCAGAACTTTTGGAATTCTTAATTTTATTCAGTTCTTGGTGGTAGGTACTTCGCAAACCTTTTATTTTGTTCTTCACATCCTGGATGGTCATGTCAAACTCATTCATTTCATCTATAATTTGCATGTAGGCATTGTCACGTGCTTGTTTGTTTTTATAAAGCGCTGGGTTGCCCGAATTCCAAAGACATTCGTGATCTTTGTATAATCGTATGAACTTGATAGTCTTTTCGTCTCCCCATCGTGGCATGATTACTAATTAGGTTTTGTTTAATCACAACACACGTTCGCAAACGACGGCAGTGAGCCAGCTACTAGCATGCCCGGAGCTATCGCGTGCGTTCACACATTCCTTGGCATGCAGTATCAAGCCCGCCCCGCCCCTCTTGCCAGATTGCATGCCATACTGAACTGCGCTTGCGAAAGTTGACTGGCATGCAATGTAAGGGAGGGGAGACGCGAGGAGGGGTCTGCAAAACTGGCTTAACCGGCCGGCTGCTGAGTCAGTCAATTACTTACAGTTATTGTAAGTACGTATTGCATGTTTTGCTTGACAATGTAGTTGCCGCCTCAATACTTAATACTACACGTGATAATAGCTGGCACTTAAAAGACGGAACTAAAGTAAGTAAGCTACATACAAAGTTAGGTCCCTTATAACCGAGACTGCTAAGTAAGCGTCCTTATACGAGTAAGTAGGTAATGGAGAGGTCATAAATATAAAAAAACCCATGAAAAACTATTGAAACCTAAGATTAAAAAATCATAAAAAGCTTTTATTTGATATTTAAAAAAAAATTACTAAACTAGGTTAAAAATAAAGTTTACCCGCAGCTCCACTTGTTGTTTTGGTTCGTCACAGAAAAAGATAATCGCGCATCCCTCCGGTACTATAATATTCCCGGAATAAAAAGCAGCCCGCCACTTAGTGTGGCTTAAAAATATACTTACCTAGCTACCTAAGTGTTTATAAACTCATACAAAAAGCTGTTTTATTATTTTGGCCATTACGTGTAGTTTCGCTTTTATTAATGATGTTGTTATATTATTACGATAGGACCTCTGTGAAATAATAACAAAGAAAAATAGGTAGTTTTAAGTATTTAAATAAATTAAATCGGTTAAGTACCTACCTACTTGGCCAATACAGTGTGGTTTTCTAATTTTTAATCTTGTACCTACCAAAAACAAGACTAACCTGCCAAGTGCCGAGTCCCAATATAGGGCACGTAAGTCCATTGTTAAATTTCACTAGGGGAGCTAGTTTTGACGCCATGTCTCGTGCAAATCACACTGAACTGTGCTGTGGTGCCTACTTCCCGTGTATATTAATTTGTATCGTATTTTATCATCGCATGCAAATATTATTAACCAATCACATCACTAAGTTTATATTTCTTATCAATCAGGATAAAAAGTAGCAATTATTCATGAAATGATTGTCATTGTATAGGACCACGCTTTTATCAGATTTTTAGCATTATAATGGATGATAAGTACGCAACAAAACATTTGTAGACATACATTTTAGCCTGCACTCTTGAAAATGTTGGCCGGGTAAGATTCATACATACGCCGCAATACATAAGGATGTGGATAAACCTTTACAGCGTTTTGGTATGTGTGGTAAGTGTGGTAACTGAATCAGTATTTTTTACAACGCCATCTATTTTCTATTTTATGTAACCTTTATATCACTTGCTAGTTTTGGTCTAGTTCAGGGGTCGGCAACCTTCTGAGTCGGAAGAGCCAAAAATTACTATTTACAAAATTTAAAGATTTTAAAGAGCCACAAATTTTTTTCTTGCCAACAATAAATAGCCTCTATTCTTTCATAAAGTTTGTTGATAAATAAAGTAATCTATTTATTCATAAGAAAAATATCTATTTATTCATATTTAAGTAGTGTTTTTCACAACAAATAATCACATGATGATGAATAAGATAAAAATGAAAACAATTAAACATTTACTTACTTACAACACTTAACTTGTAGGAACTTCAACAACAAACAATTGAGCAAACTGCTGCGGTGAAAAGCGAGTACAAGTAGCTGAGAGATAGAAGTAATGCCTAAACCTCGTTAATCGTTTCAGAACATTTTTTTTATAAAATAATAATATTTGCGAATGGAACTAAAGAGCCGCAGCCTCACATCCAAAGAGCCGCATGTGGCTCGCGAGCCGCAGGTTGCCGACCCCTGGTCTAGTTAGGAGTTAGGCCTAGGTTATGGGTCATCTACTTGGCTGATAAGCCATTAGGGGCTAAATGTGCCATTTTACTTCAATACCTACATCATCATTCGGTTATTTTAAATTAAAAATGTTTAGTTTTATTGGGTGGTGGCATTTCCTATTTTAAATAAAACACATCTTTGATAGAGATCATAGTTTTGCTTTTTGGAGTAAGAAAAAACTATTTATTTCATTCCTATGAATCACAGCTATGAATGTACCTACATATGGCCAAAATTAACTTGATCGACTTACCAGAAAATACCCAGCATGGTTCTCAAGAACCTATAATATGCACATAAGAATAAAATAATCATAGTTTGATTTCCTACTTTTTCATCTAATTTATTATCAACTATGTACAATAACAATAAATAAAATTAGGTCTTAATTAAGTAATAACATCAATCTTTTAACAAATATTTGTCTGAAGAACCTTCCGCAAGCAGTTCTCTCTCTGCGGCCGCCTTGCTGGCTTCAATTTGTGGTTTCACATATTTATAGTATTTATAGAAGTGATCGCCTAACAAGATTCCTCCATAAATAGTGAGACCGATGCAAACCAGAACACCTCCTCGGTGCAGTTTATCATAAAGTTGACTGCGTGCATACTTCTTCATGATTCCTGAAAAATAATAACAATGCAATTTTATGTATTAGTGTCCTGGATAGCAGTGCTAAATTTTATAAAGAATATTTATAAAGCGTAATAAATCTAATTTTCAATCCGAAAGTGAAAGTTCTTTCACGAATACCTAGTTATTTATTAATGTAGAAGGTAAAGAAAAAATATAATATCCCAACGCAAGTAATGTCCGGGAATGGACATCTATAAATTTAAGACCTAGACAGGCATTAAAAAGACTTATTTATTTATTGATTACAACAGGATAACTTACCAACGCACGCAATATAAATACAAAAAAATGAGATTTTTAAAATATTTATCAATTTTCAGACCAAGACGAGAGGTTATTTTCTTTTTTTTTTAGTTGGTGAATGACGTTTATATTTTTTATAATGTTTCCGGCTTTGGACATTCATTGAATGGTGTTATTTCTTTTTTTAGCATGGCATAAAATTCATGTGCTGTGCTGGAAAGCAGTTTTTAAGAAGAAGAATGCTATGGGTTTTCTAAATAAAAATAATAATAAATAATCTATCATGTACAGTACAGGTGCACAGCAAGCTAACCACAAGTGGCGTCTTATCTCCTTTTAACGCAGGCTAATTTGCCACATAAGTAGTCTGATGTGCTGTCGACTGCACATCAAGACAAGAAATTCTTATGTAATCTGCCGGTTACCCACAGGCCCACAGCGGTTACCGGTAACGCCATATGGCTTTGGTCTATAGCCGTAAAATGCATAAAAAGTATAAAATACGTCAATAAATTTTGACAGAATTTGCTCAGTATATATTCATTAAAATGACAGTGACAGTACCTACCTATAGTAGTAAGTAAAACACGAAGTAAAAGGTAAAAAAACATAGCTTTTCCCACAGGCTTTTCCTCGGATCGGAGTTTTTCGTTCTTACTAATTTCAATTTGTAATCTATCTATCGTCTGTTACACGTTTAAATATGATAAATAGCTACCGTTTCAGAGTAAATAGCATTCTAATAAGAATAGTGCGGAACTCCAACTCAAAAATACCTGCAAGTCCTGAAAAAACTTATGAGGTTAATCAAGATCAAAAAGTTGTTGTAGATAAACAAACTATATCTTTGCTAGAGAGGCTTTCTTTAGTAAAGTGTGATACAGTTGAAGGTGTTAAAGTTTTGGAAGACTCAATAGCTTTTGCCAATAAAATCCTTCATATCAATACTGATCATGTCCAACCTCTATATTCTGTACTAGAAAAAGAGTAAGTTATAATGTATACATTTTTAGATTATTTTAATTGTCTTATATTTAATTATGGTAACTTTCCAGGATTTTGTACCTCCGACCAGATCTAGTTACTCAAGGAAATTGTCAAAAAGACATTCTCAAGAATGCATCGCTAAAAGAAGATGACTATTTTGTGGCTCCCCCAGGAAACATACCCTGGCACGAATTGGAAAAAGAAGAGATAGAACCTAAAGTTTCTGGCAAAAATGAAAACTGAGTTAGAAAAAGTTTTGAATTTAAGAAAATTCTTTACAATAAATAAATCATCTAACACAACCATTACATATAATTTAAGCAAAAGTAGTTTGCTTTTTCTTCAAAACATTTACATAAGTTGGCTGCAATCTGTGTGTACTAAAACTAGTAAACATATACCAGTTTTTATCACTAAGAAATATGCTGAAGGTCACAATCAAGACCAGCCATTTGGGTTTCTTGAAAATCATGTTATTAAATATGATGAGTCCGCAGTGTTACACCATGATATTGAAGATTGTGCACCAAAGAACACATCACTACTTCAATTAAATATGATTGTGCCTCATCACACAAGCATGCAGTATTTTATTCAATGGCAAAGACATAGAAAATATTGGTGGAGTTCTGTAAGTTACATAATTTAAGTACTTATATCACATGAAGTAAAAACTTGTAATTTTTAATTTTGTTATTCTAATGCTAATCATTTGAATTACAGGTCACAACTACACCCAGTTTATTTGCTGTTAATGAAATTAAATACGAAAAAGAAACAGCAGAATCTAATATTGTAGCACAATTTCCTTGGGGACATCATACAGTGGAGACTGTATCAATGACTTCTAGGGGAACAGTCAGTAATTTTTTTATGAAATCATTTTTTCCTCCTGAAACCTTACTTTGTCTAACATTTTCAAACAAACTACCTGACATCTTCCTTTTCAGGAGGACTCTTCCCATTTGAAATGTTCTATGTCATTAGAAAGAGCCATGTTTATATTATTGTTAGATGGCATGATGAACAAGAGATATAGTGAATACCTCAAATTGCACAGAAACATGACTCCATACAAAATATCATTTGCACTGAACACTAAAAGTATGTATTCAATAAAATATAGGGTGTACAAATAAAGGGATGTCCTTGAAATGTGTTATGTAAGCAATATGATAGTTCTTAAACAACCTGTATAAAAAAACTTCTGAGCTAGCTGAATAGTTGAAATAATATTGTGAACAGAAATGTTTCATTAAATGAAAAACTGTAAAACCCCATAATAAGGCATTTTAAATGTAAACATTTTTCATGTAAACTGTCTGTACCTGCACCCTCATATTAATATACCTAACCTACTTTCTGTTTCAGAAAAAACTGACTTAACAAACATGAATGGACTGGTTAATCTAATGCGCCAAAGACTAAAATTAAAAGATATATCATCTTATCTTCCTGATTTAACACTTGCATTGGAAGAACAGGTTAAAATTTATAAATATTATTGAATAACTATACCACTCTACAAACAATTAAAGAACTACAATTAAATTATGTGTAATACCTAAGACTGTAAAACATCTGTATAAACATAAAAACGAATGACAAACCATTCATTGATGTTATTTGTTACAGATAAAAGAAAACCTGCAGTTAGGTGTGACCTACACTGCCATACTATGTGATAATACTTTAACAAATGGAATATTTAATTTGTTAAATAGCAGTACGATGTTAACGGTAATAACATAAGTAACTAATTACACATCACCCAACCAATTAATAATAAAGCGTGCCATATCGCCCGATGTCGATATCGGTAGATGGCGCTGTGTAAAAAATGTTATGGGGTGGTGATGGTGACCCTCTTTGGTACCCCTATTCCTAATAAAGCCAGCCATGGGCGAGTAGGCGACACGGTCGGACTCGCAAAAAAACTCTTGCGTACCATTATAAAACATTGAATGCCATGTACTTTTTTTTTATTTTCTAATATATTTTCGTAAATCGAAAATAAACAAAAAATATTTCTTGTATAAGTACATTATAATACATACATACTTTTTAGTTTAATGTTGTCAGAGCGGCAATTATTGTGTTAGATAGTCCTTCACCATCTTACTAAACATTTTTCTTTCCAGGAAGAAGTACATGTTGCCGATTTTGACTCCTATGCAATGTTGTTATGTCGCAAATGATAAAGAATAGTTTTAGTATGTGGAAAATAAAGATTGATTAAAAACAACACTTGCACTTTCAATTTTATTTATTCAGGAATTCTTATTGCAAGATTTTACAGTAAATCCTTAATACTAAATGTAAAAAATTAAGGTTTGTTGTTTGATTTACCTTTAAATTTTCAATAAATTTTAATTTCATGCTGTTAATATTCATTATTAGTAAACATTAATTTGTCTTGATTACAGACTTATTACGGTTTTACAAATAATTTTACTACAGAAAGTTCATTCTCCAGATATATTTAAATGGGAAAGGTTAAATAAACTTAATAATGGGATTATTATTATTATACAAATTGGCAGCAGTAACTTAATTTAACTACGTATTGACCAAGTACATATGCCAATACAAAATGCAACTTTTGAATACTTTGAGCTGCCAATTTAAATAAGGATAAGAATTTAAAATTTTAACAATGAAAAAATATATAATCTTAGGAAGCATACAAAGGAATATAATATTTATTGTTACAATGTATGGAAGGGATTTAATACAGAATAGTAATCATCCCATACATTGTGTGACAACAATATGCCTCGTGACATTTTGATTAATCACACACACATCCTCATGAAAATTAAGAATACACTACTGTTTGGTTTCAATTATACCTATCAGATGTTGCTAATATTAATTAATTTAGTAATAAATGTCTGGAAAAATATTCTATTCTGTTAATTCTATTCGAAACATGTTGCTTTTTATATTGCTTGTTAATATTAATAGCTATTTTACTGTAATCTTATTATTTTAACCATACCATCATTTAAAGAAAATGATGGCTTAATTTACAGCCATGTAGTATTATTATATAATGGAAGTGCACAAGAATCATTTTAGTTAAAATGGTTTAAATTAAATTAGTACTTAGTTCTGTCTGAAATTCATCACACATAATTGCCTTCAGTAATCAACGACTGTACATACATACTGGTACATACTATGGTTGTACAACTAGCTCTTAGGTAAATTATTGGCTTATACAAAACATCTTCACAGACATTCATAGTCAGATTTAATTTTTACTATCATAACAGTGTTACAAGATGCTTAAGCTGGCAACTGCAATTTCTTGCCTTTCAGGACTGAAACAGAAAGACAAATTACATTAGACAGTTTAAAGACAAGACAAGCAATCTGATTAGATACTTATCTAATCTACAAAATGATACACTCCTTTGAAAAAACAAATAATTCATTTCAGCTAGCCTAAAATTAATTAATTAAAGTTATTGAATATTTAATTAAAGAAATAATTTTCAAAGCTTTATTGAAACTAATTGACTTTTTTTGAGTCATAGCTTTTCAGAGAAATTAGTTCAATCAAATTATTTGATTCATCTCCAGATAAATGTTATAAAAAGCAATATAAACACCATATTTACCTTTTGTAATGTACAAATAGAAAAAGTCACAGTAAAGGACCGTCTGCACCACACCAGCCACAATTGCGATGACTTCGTAATGACTTTCCACAACATAACGGTACACCTAAAAACAAGAAACAGATTCCATTGAACCTTAGAACAAAATATTTTCAACGCTATAACAATTTTTGTGCATATTCATTACGAGTCCGAAGACAGAGATAAGAAATATCAAATGATAACAACTTGCACAACAACAATCTTACTATGTCACTACTTGATATGTTATTTTAATGAATATTAATTATTGTAACAATTCCAAATCTGTGGTAACTATACTGACCCAATTCAAGAGGTAGAGAGCTCTGTATGAGCCAAGGGCAAATAGATAATGAGATGTGATGCTTTCAGCCTCTCCAGTCTTGGAAACCAAAAACAGTTGGGGAAGAATGGCTACAGCTTCCAAGTAGATTGAGAATGTCCATAATACCTGTTTAATTAGAAAATAATTAACTTTCTTAAATGCTAATTATGTTTAAATTGCAAATTTAATACAAGATTAAAGATGTTAATTGAAAAGTAGTTACCAACGGGATTATTCACAATAAAGTACTAACCTCAAGTACAGTAAACTCATGATTTATCAACAATGACAACACTAAAGCTGGAATCAACAGAAATTCAATCCTGAAGGTGTCGTGGTTGTGATCGTAAGTAGCTTTGAATTTCACATACATCAAGTAAACAGTTGCATATGACGCCACGATAAATACCAACTTCATTACAGTATTATAGGCCGAAATGTATGTCGTCAACAAGTCCAGATACCGAGTGGTGTATACTATAGAGAATAGTATCTGTGACTTTCCAGATATACCTGAAAACATAAAAATGATGTACATAACTGAAATAACCATTGGGCAGTACAAACCTCCATTCAGATCACGCCGGCAAGGCATCATAGGTGGTGGTAGTCATTCAAGTTACCTGCACATGATCTCGTTTTCCAAATTTTAAGCAGCAATATAATTATGGCTAGAAGGTGAGACAAATCACCAAGCAAACGGAATATATTCATGATTTATTATTTTACAGTACAGATTCTGCGATACGCCGCGTATACTTTTTCATTCAAAGCAAAAATGACGTGGCTGAATGACACCACTGACAGTTGTTTTTTTTTAACGCGTATGAGTTGAACTTCAATGTTTATAGTTCCAAAATACTGAACTGTCCTATCGATGACATTGACAGCGGGGCGCCACCGTCAATACCGAATCGCTGGTTACGATTTTGCCATGTTGGAAACCATAAAGTTGCACGATGGTAGCGCCCCCCTGTCATTGAGTTTGGCGGGACAGTTCAGCGTGGGTCATCTATAAGATATTGTATTTTACCATTGAGAATTTGAGATCATCGAGATTATTGATTGGAGTAGTCGGCACCTGGATGTCAGTGTAGAAAAATGTTCTATGTGAATGACATTCGATTTTGCAGCTGTTGTGATCCGTGGTGATTCGATATGCCAACAACGAAACCGTCAATAAAATATTATTAAATAGCAATCTGATGATTGACCATTTTATGGGAGCTTCTATGTTTAAGGACCATTCTTGTACCATTAGTCTAAAATAAAATTATGACTAGGCACAAAATAAGTTAAATTCCTTTCGCTTTAGAAGCATTTTTAATTGCTTGTCATAGAAACATATGTATAAGGTCCATAAAAAATAAAACATTTACTTAACCATAAAATTATTTAATATAATGAATACATTAAACAACATAAAGATGATGGGAGATAATTAGCGCATTTTTTTCTGCTTTATCAAATAATTTCTAAAAGCTATTTGCTTATCTTTGAAGGATCTCTTTATTTTTCCTTTTACTTTATGCTTAACCATCTGGTAACTTTTGGTCTTCCTCTTTTCTCTGTTGGTTTTAGAACAGTGAATATTTTTCCTTCTGTCCTTGTGTCCAAATTTGTCTCTCTCCTCTCTTCCTTTGAGCACAGTTTCCATTCTTGCATTTTTATCATGTTTACGTTTTTTGTGAATATTCTCAATATCTGAAAGTTTCACGAGTTCTCCAGATGCATTATCTTCATCTTCTACTGCACTTTTATTCCTCTTGATACCACTGATATGTTTTTTAACTTGAGCAGCTTCAATCCTTTTGAAATCTTCATCAGTGAAAATCGTTTCCATTGCAATTTCCCTGGCAGTATTAATTTTAGCTTCTTTATCAAGATCTTTTTCTTTGCGTTTTGCTTTCAATATCTTTCGATTTTCAGTATTTTTGGATACATTCACAGATTTGTCATCTACTTTACTCTCTTCCTGGTCCTCATTATTGTCCTCCTCATCATTTTCGGATTCTTCACTTGCCTGTTCTTCATCTTCATCATCATCATCATCAGCTTCACTATCTGTAGGTATATCTATTTCAGAATCAGATGATGCCACATCTACCCAAGAGTCACTATCAGAGTCATCTTTTGCTTTATTTTTCTTCTTTGTATCTTTAATCTTCTCTTTTTCCAAAAGAACCTCTGAGCCAGGAATATAGTTTTTGATTTCCATCTCACCATACTTCTTGGTTTTCAACTCTATTGAAGCTTCAGTTGGCCTTCCTCTGTCCTTTTTATGTAAAAGATTTGGCATGGACTGTCTATACAGCTGAATAAGTGATCTAGCTGCCATCATAACAGATTTTTCTTTGTAAGTTTTGTATTGAACCAAATCTCTAAGGAGATCTTCATCTATTGCAAGAGGACAGCGACTACAAATTTCTCTGACTGCATTCAATCCAACTGCCATCACATCAGTTGAGTTTCTCTCTGTTATAAAGTTATTAGCAATAGCTTTCATAACTGGTTCAATGACTTCAGGTGGCACTAACTCATGTGAGGCTTGAGCAGCAAATTGCAAAATCCGAGTAACTTCTCTCTGGTGGGGCATAAGTAATCTTGCAATGAATGGATAGTAATTAAACAAAAACAGATTATGCAAGCCAATTAATCTGGATACCACATCAAGAGACATAAGCTTGACTTCAAATCTATCATTGGACGCTTCTACTTGCTTGAATAATTTTTCAGCAAATCCTTGGGGGTTATTTATAAGATGTAAAGCAGAAAAATTGAATGATGGTGCTTTTTGTTTCTTCTTTTTCATCTTTTTGGCAATCTTTTTCACTTTGTCTACCATTTTTTCTCTCTTCCTCGTTTTTTTATTGAACTTGTTGGATATCATTGTGTCTCGAGGGTCCACCTCATTTTCACTATCTGACTCTTCTTCCTTTTCTTCTTCATCTTTGCCCAAGAAAAACTTGAGTGATGCAACCATCACTTTTGTAACCTTAGAGAAGCAACCAATATCAGCAATAATATTCACAGTTTTGTGATCATTCCAAATGTTTTTTTGGTACAAATCAATCAAAATATCTATTGATAACTTTGCAGCTCTAGCATCTGTATCTTTTAGCATTGAAAATATAAAATTTTGCAGAGTTGAATTAAATTTCATGTCTTTGTGTTTCATATTAATATTCTTTATATCTGTTATGATGTGGGTCTTCAAGAACTCTCTTAGGTATTTGTCTTGGCATTTCAGCAGTTGAAAAAATAGCTCAAGTAAATCAAACGGTGATATGAAATTTTTGTTCCGAAGTAATATGAGACACTTACATAGAGCCAGTCTCATCTCATTGTGCAAGATTGTATTATGTGTTTTCAGTATATCCACAATCTTTTGTGGAAACAGTTTCATTTCATTGAGGTAGCATTTTGCCACTTGGGCTAAGAACATGGACTGTTCATCGAGTTTTTTATTATACTGCGTTGGATTTAAGTTGAAAATTTCCAAAGTAGTATCAAAATGAGCGAGTTGTTGATGAAATTCTTCCTTGTACGACGCAGGATCCCTTTTGATCAAGTTTTGCAGTTGTGTAAGGTTGTTCGGCAGCTGGTTATTGTGACGCCCCATCTTAGCGCAGTTTAACACTTTTCTTCACCAAACATAAGTTGTATTTAATTTTTGTCACGAGATTTTATTTAGAAGATAAATAATTTCTCAACCTCGTGATACTCTAACCTCCAAAATAAAGATTGACGTGAGGTGACTGACTGACATTTCTGATGTCTGACAGGGTTGCCAGATATCAGCTAACTCAATTCGCCTAATTTTTCCTACCGAGTAGCCTAAATCGCCTAATATTTTTTTTTCCTGAAGTAGCCTAATTCGCCTAACATTTTGAGGTAAGTATACAAAAATACATATCAAATCGACACATTACTGACAAACAGCTGTTTATCTCTTTCTAACTTACCCATGGTGACGTATGAAAAAAGAGATAGATAATGTTTGGTTAGCCTACTCATTCTGGCAACATTTTTATGTGACGTCACTAACTACCTGACTTGTGCCGAATACATACAAGATTTAAGAAATCAACATGGCTGCAATATAGGCAATCAGCTGACAACTATACACACACCCACACGCGCGCGCGCGCGCACACACACACACACACACACACACACACAACCTGTCATTTTCTATATTGCGGCCATGTTGTTTTCTTAAATAAGTGTATCGTAATGTATGTGTTAGCGGCAATTTGTATAATTTAGGAATTCTATACAATCCCTCCCTAGTCAATGTGTAAAATCAATGCCTGGGCCGCGTAGGCAATGTATAAAATATTATTATTATTGTTCAATAAATACTTTATAATACCTAGGCAGTAGGCCTAAGATGCGCGCCACGATAAGCGGTTATCACGCCATTTTATCGATTTTGCCCATACATTTTGACGTCGATAAAAGTTATCACGGCGCGCATCTTAGGCCTACAAGTGTATGTAACTCATACCTGTAATACCTAGGCATTGTATAGAATACCAGCTGACCCACCGGTAATGTGTAAAGTAAACAGATTTTGATCATTATTATTTATGTACGGTTAGGGTGTAGCAAAGGACTTAGCCGAATAACCGAATTTTCGAACGTAATTTGTATGGAGCTGATACTTAGAAAAAAATTGACGCATTTAGTGTGGATATGGACTTTTTAGAGTAGTAAAGGGGGTAGGGGTCATTTTAAAAAACTAACTGAATTACAGAATACTAGGTTAGGATTTATTTTTCCAAGGTAATCCTGAAGTAGCCAAAATAGCCCGATCTTATTTTCTAGGTAGCCTAAATGGCTACCGGTAGCCGTTTGCATTTTTTGGTCGCCATTTGACCCCCAGAGGTAGCCTAAATGGCGATAATTCGCCTAATCTGGCACCACTGATGTCTGACAGAAGTGACAGACATCATTGAGGGCGTTTGGCCGAAAATAGAATTTGTAAGCAAAATGACGATCACCATGACAACCACCGAAAACTTGAGCATGTTTTCGGCTTTCGGCGAAGACCGAGGACACTTTTTTTAACTTCAACAGTGACAGTGACGTTTTCCTATATGTTCATTTTTTTAGCAGTGATAGCACTTTACCGCAAAACGAACGCCATTTTTCTTATTACCGCTAACAATTCTATTTTCAGCCAAACGCCGCCATGGATTGGGTTTAGGCTGTGGGTTTAGGTTATAAGTAGAAATTTATCGTTTTATTTTCACCAATTAAAAATAACCGTGAAATAACATTGGCAGAACGAATATTTGTTGTGTAATTAGGTAAAAAGTCAAGTTATATTTATTTATGTTTTAGCTTACAAAAATTTAAGAAACAAATTGTCATTAGATGTCACAGTCAGCTGTTGTTGACCATCAATCAGTCTGAAAAACAGCGAAATTTGTGCATCAAAAACAAATAAAGACGTTATTTTTGTTTTTATACTGTAGATAATACGAGTGAAGCACAAAATGTTAAAACCCAAAGCTTTGACCCAAGTTTTAAGCCAGGCAAACACTGGGGGCGTGGAAAATACATTGTAATATAACATTCTGTTTTGTTACTACAAACATTTACATTATAATCTATTAAACTATTTTAAAAAATGGATTAGAGTGCTTGTTGATTCGTGCCAGGTATATTGATTATATTTTTAGTTATGGAGTTTTTATGTTTACAGATTGCTAAACCATCAAGGAGCACTACTTGCTTACTCTGGCTACAACGACAAGGACGCCAGGGTTACGGCTGCTATTGCTAGTAACGTGTGGGCTGCGTACGAAAAGCATGGAAGAAACGTGTTTAAAGAAGATAGATTGCACTTGATTCTAGTAGACTGCTTAGATGGGAAGATAGCTATAACTCAAGTAGCAAATCTATTACTGTGTCTTTATGCCAAAGAAACAGTAGGTTTTGGAATATTGAAAGAGAAAATAAATGCCATTGCTCAGTATTTAGAGGGGCCATTAAAACAAGTAGCTAGTTCTTAAGTCAAAATATATGAAAGGTTTTTATGTTTTGGTAAATTTAATTATTAAAAAAATATTACATATTGCAATTTTTGTATTTCCTGAAATAAATATGTATTAAGTCACATTTTATGTATTTATTTAAGTAAGACTATTGAACAAAAGACGAACCTGATGCAATATAGAATCTTCTTCCAGGCAACCTTTGGGTCTAGTAAAAATTTTAAGCGCCTGAAAGTGTAGCAGAAATAGGATTAAAATTTAAATTGGATAAACAAATATTGTTAAAATGAATTGGTCAAAGTCTCTCAATACAGTAGGTAGGTAAAAGGGACAAAGTCATGGCAATATGCTGCCTAACAGATTACATGACGCACCTAGCGCGTCATGAAGAACCCTTCAGAGAGGCCAATGACTCAATTTAATTAATTTTTTTTAATCAATTTAAACGAAAAATCCTTTCATTATAAATAAAAAAATAACACAATAAAAGAATCCTGTGCTTTGGTTCACTTTAGTCGTGTAAACAATAGCATAATGATGCACCAGTTCAGCTGACTGAGCTCGAGCTCAACATATAGTGAGACTGTTTTCTTTGGGCTGTAACTTTTTTTCATGTGGCAAGCAAACTAGACATAGAGAAAAGTAATACAAAACTAGACTTGTCAACTAGTTGTCAATTTGCCGCAAAGTTGATGGAGTGTGCAATGGTGATTGAAGTTACATTTTGTTTATTGTTTTAATTACAATCTTATTATTTTTTTATTCGATCTTTACAATGAACTTATCTGAAGATAACGCGTTTGGAAATGGCCTATTGTATGTGGGTTTTAACCAAGATCAAGGTAAACAAATGTTACAAGGTGAAGGTACCTACATTTCTTGTCTATCTAGAAATCGTTTACTGTTATTCACTTTTTGTTTCGTAATTTTTTCAGGTTGTTTCGCTTGTGGCACTGAGAATGGGTTCCGCGTCTTTAATAGTGATCCTTTGAAAGAAAAAGAAAGGCAAAATTTCGCCGAAGGCGGCCTGTCTTACGTAGAGATGTTGTTTAGATGTAACTATATGGCTTTAGTCGGGGGTGGAAAAACCCCCGTTTATCCTCCAAACAGAGTTATCATTTGGGATGATTTGAAGAAAGATTCTGCTATTTCCCTTGATTTTAATAGCCCTGTTAAAGCTGTGAAGCTACGCAGAGATCGAATTGTTGTTGTTTTGGGTAATGTTTGTTATCTTATCTGTACACACAAATATCTAATACTTCCAGTGACTAACACAAGATGAAATGAACTAATTTTACTGTTTTCAGAAAATTTAATAAAGGTTTATACATTTACTGCTCAGCCACAGCTACTTCATGTTTTTGAGACATGCCAAAACTCTCGTGGGCTATGTGTTGTGTGCCCAAACAGCAATAATGCATTGCTTGCCTATCCAAGTAGAAAACCCGGTCATGTTCAAGTAAGATTTTTTTTACTACCTTCATATTTTTTTTAATAAATGCACATTTTTCTTCATTTATTACTTCTTTGTTTCAAAGCTGGTGGAGTTGAGCAGTCATGCAGGAACCAGCACAGCACCAGAAGGACATCTAATAGCTGCTCACGAGGCTCCACTGGGCTGCCTGGCTCTGAACGTAGGAGGCACTAGGCTGGCCACTGCCTCGACCAAAGGCACACTCATTCGTGTATTTGACACTTCTACCGGACAAAAGCTTGCTGAATTAAGACGAGGGGCTCATCAGGTAAAGGCTAATTTCAATTTTGTTTAATTGAATAAGAGAAAACAAGTAAATAAGCAAAATATGATAATTAAATTATGTGACCGTTTAAGTTTGCATTTTATGCTTCAATTCTTTTTTGTTGAATTATGTACTTCCTTTTTATTTTACATGAATCAAATTTTAAGGTTCTGATAGGTGCACTGAGGGATCACAATGGGAATGCATTTTTCATGCATATTAATTGATGTAAAGAACCTCTTTGTGTCTTTGTGTTGCTTCTTCATACTTAATCAGTATCTCAAAAAAAGAACTCAATAGTATTACAGTCTTTCAGTGGTATAAACAAATATAATATTTATAGGGGCCGTCCATAAATTACGTCATCGATTTTTTCAGATTTTAGACCCCCCCCCCCTACAATCATCCTATCGTCATTTCTTAATGACGATAGGATGATGATTTTATTTAAGTTATTAGTATGAAAGATTACGCGGTAATAAGCGGTTTACGATTTACGAGGTATTAAAAAAAGCTACTTACTAGATCTCGTTCAAAACAATTTTCGTTGGTAGTTTTTATAGTAATGTACATCATATGTTTTTTTTAGATTTTTCATTTTCTTATTTTNAAATATTTAAAAATAAAACTTTTTTTAATGATTAATTAATCATATCCTGGACTGAAATTTATTAGGCAACCCTTAAGCAATATAATTATTGACATGTTAAATTGAATATAAAATATGTTTCATCAAATAAGCATCTCGGTGAAGGTCCTTGTATAGCGGGATCTTAGACTAAAAAATGCGTCTTTACAAGGATCCAGAGTCACTTCTTCAAAAAATAGGTAGTTACGCTATAGACATTTTTTATGACTATAAAACTGTTAAGTTGGGATTAATCGCTATCCATCTGTTAAAGAGGACACGTGAGATCTTTATTTGGTTTTATAACCATAAAAATTGGTCTTATTGATCCCAGAGGTGAGCCCAAAGTTAGGTCTATTTTCAAGTCACATTTATGGTATATGTTAATCATTTATTTAGAAATGAAATGTATTTTTCTTTAAGGATATTTATTGGACTTTCAAATAACACCAATATTGTTGGGGCACCATTATTGTGTCAAAAGAAAATCTTTAAAGTTCGCTTCGCCGAAGGTGCGGTTGTAGTTTCGGATCTATTTGTCACTGTCGCCTATTCTGGCATCTCACTTAGCGCGAGAGGGATGACAACATTCTAAGCTTCGGAGTAACCCCGCAGACTCTTTGCCTAAGCGCAGGCTTTTGTTGATCGATAGTTGGGCCCGATTCTAATTTGTATGAAGAATCGGCCGATACCAAATCGGTGTAATGTGCGCACTTTCATACATCTCCATACTGATCAACAGCCCGACCCAACTATAGGCCAACTAAAAATCGGTGGTCTGCGCCTAGGCTTACAACGATTTCGCTCTTAGTCCGATCCTAAGTCCGCGAATAAGTCCGGAGTTTTCTACATCCGTATTTTAACGGATTCAGACCGAATGTAGCACGTAACGAGTCTAAGTTTCTCACTATAGAGGTGTTAAATCTTCCGCAATAAATAATTATAAACATTTGACCGTAAAATATAGGTAATTAATTACCTCTGCAACCTCCACGACGGAAGCCAGCGTCTGTTGTGTGCCGCGGGTGACGGCGGCGAGAGTCTGATCGCTGTCGGCAGTCAGCTTAGCGGTGGATTCCTTGTCAGTCTGCACCAGTTGCTTTACTTCTTGCTGGAAATAGATGTTAAATAAATTATGTAGTCCAATTTCACTTTATATCCTCAACTGGTAAAATAAAACAGTCTGGGACTCACAAATATGAATAACTCATACAAGATTAATTTAATTCTGTGATTGGATCAAATATTTAAATTCAACCAATTAGAGTTTTTAGCATTGTTCCAGAGTACGGCTCTTCTTTAGCTCAGATTTTTAGTGGGAGACTTAAGGTTCTGAGTTTTTAGCGAAAAAGTTTCGGACTTAAGTGTCATTGGTGCGCTTTTTAGTTGGCGTGTTACGGGCCTCAGTGCTATTGGTGAGATTATTTTGAGGATGAGTTATAGACCTCAGTCCCAAAGAGATAGTTATGGGCATTTGATGAGATTTTAGTGGGTGACTCATGGGATTTGTATTGCACAAACTAATAACAGTCGTTAACTCCTCGTACTATGGTAAATATGCTTGTGTTACGAGTGGATGTTAAGTTCACCACATTAGCCGAGCAGCGGCAGGATTCAAACCCGCGTATTTGGAAAACGAGTTGGCCAGTCGTCGGACTAGTGGTAGTTTGGCTCCTTTCTGGCTTTAATTAGCTATGAATGTTAGTTTTTACAGTAACTCACGTCAATCTTGTGTGCGTTCTCTTCCTGGACACGGATGAAGTGTTCCGTGGCGGTGGCCACGCGTGCCACCACAGCGCCGCTGAACCATTCCATGTCGGACTGCACTTCACTCGCCACTGAAATTATACCATGTAAAGAAACCTCGTCTGATTCGAATGGTGGGTGATTTTGGTGCTATAATACAACAACTTTGGTATTCAGAACTAAAAAACACAATCGACTATAGTCTGGTCTGCGAGCACGTAGAATTTTGTCCAATGACCCCAAGCTACCCATCCTTATCGCTCGCGCGTAATTATGTTGCTGTCGCGCTCGCACACTCACTGCGGGCGCCCGTCGCACAGTCGCGACAGCAATATAATTACGCGCTAGCGATAAGGATGGGTAGCTTGGGGTCATTGGACAAAATTCTACGTGCTCACAGACCGGGCTTTAATCAGTTGTTGTCAATTTGTTGACTCAGACAGATTCATTTCGTGGTCAGACTAAGCGTGACCAGTGTGCTTACCATGAGTTTATGTTAGGTGCGCTCGCTAGCGAGTGAGTAAAAAAAAATATGAAGATTTTAGTTCTTGAAAGTAGCCTCTAGGGGCGCTGTATAATCTGTCATACATTTTATGTCATTTTTACCCTGTTATTTGCGACCACACCTAACGTAAACTCATGGTAAGTACACAGATCAAAGGGTCACTTATTTATTACATAAACTAGCTTTTGCCCGCGGCTTCACCCGCGTGAAATTTAGTTTGTCACAGATCTTCATAAATTATAGCCTATATGTTATTCTGGGTTATAAACAATATACTGTAAAGTTTCATCAAAATCCGTTCAGTAGTTTTTGCGTGAAAGAGCAACAAACATCCAAACATCCAAACTTTCGCATTTATAATATTAGTAGGATTACGTAACAATTCAATTCCGTTATTATGAAGTTTAAAAGTAATCTCTGTTGCTATAATATGTTTGAATACAGGGTAAGGCTATCTAAAGCGAGTCAGTTAGTCAGTTACTTTGTTTTTCTATGTCAATAAAATAAAAACAAGCCTGACATATGCTGCATCAACAATAAAAATGTAAACAAATTAAAAATGTAAACTTACAGGCATTGAACTCGTTGACGAACTTGCTCAGATTCTTCTCGGCCTGTTCCTTCTCACTGTCCTGTTCTTCTAAAGCTTGATCAGCACTGTCCATATCTTCTTTGGTCGCTTCCAACTGAGTCTGCTGCCACATCACATGTCTGTTTATCCTCTCTTCTAGAAGATTCTTTTCCTGTTCGATTTCTAGAACTTTCTTGCTCAGTCGGTCTTCTAGCGCTTTCTTCTCGGCGGCCACGTGGCGCGCCAGGCGTTCTTCCAGCAGTCTTCTCTCTTCTTCCATCCACTGGTTGAGACGGGTTTCCGTCTCCTGTCGTTCTGTTTCTATTTCGGCTAGTTGTTTTGATAGACGTTTCTGAATTTCTTCTTTTTCAGCTTCGATTTCCTGATAGCCAAAGAAATAAATCAATAAAAAGGATGATATGTGTTTTATTGCATGTAATTAAACTTGAATTTGATTAGAAATATTTAATGTTTAAAAAAATTAACTGATTTTATTTTGGAGGCTGTTCATATTTGTTAACCGTTGAATGCAAAGCGAGAGTGAGTGGTTTTACACCGTGAATACCGTGATATAACTCGCTGTTATTCAACAATCGCTTCAATATTACATTAAAGAATAAAGTTATTTCTTTCCAGTTTTCATCATTAGGGACAAAGGGCAAGCTCTGGCGTGGTTGCTATACGTCTGGGAGATAAATAACATTTTGTTTATACGTCCGTCAGAAGAAGAAACAGAAGAAAAAATACGTGGTACACAGCTAGTTGTTAAAAAATAATCACAGTAAGATCACAGTTTGCTACCAGTATGTATGTTGCTACCCATCCTTATCGCTCGCGTGTAATTATGTTGCTGTCGCGCTCGCACAATCACTGCGGGCGCCCGTCGCACAGTCGCGACAGCAATATAATTACGCGTGAGCGATAAGGATGGGTAGCTTGGAGTCATTGGACAAAATTCTACGTGCTCGGCGACCGCACTATAGTTTCCCCGTGAAATCGGTGGAGAGAAATAGCTAAAATATACGGTTGCTTTTCGGTAAATCAAGGGAAGAATTGGCAATATCTTCTTACCTGGATGCAAGCCTGTGCGCGATTCGCTCGAGCGGCGGCGGCGGCGCGGCGCGCGTTCCGGCGGCGGCGGGCGGCGGCGCTGCGTTCCGTTTCTGTTCCGCGTGCGTTCGCCGCCGCCGCCGCCTGCACGCTGCGTAAAGCGGCCACGCGACTCGCTGCCGATGGGTACTGGGGGAAAAGACGAATGAAAATCAAATGAAAATGCATGCTAAATAAACTAGGTTTATAGATCGTTTCATCTACGAAGACGCGCCCCACCACTTTTTGTTCGAGGGAAGCGCGGGGTGCGGGAAGTTTCGTAATGTTATCTCTTCGTCGGAGATTTCAGTCACTGTATTTACAATATTCTGTGTTCGTGTAAGGCTACCCTACAAGGGCTGCTCTAATTCGATTTAATTTATTTATTTCCATGTCCAACGTCGCCAATTAGTCCATCATTTTTAATGTGTTTCTATGGAGACGTCATCCATAAACATGACATTATCCATGAGTGCACACGCACACTACAATAATGCCGCTCGGATTGCTCGGATCAAACTCCCCGCACCCCACGCTACCCTCGACCAAAAAGTGGTGGGGCGCGTCTTCGTGAATGAAATGATCTATACAACATATTCTGATAAAATTCCTACGATAGTTATAAGATAACATTGTATAAAATTTAAATGGGACCACCCTTCAGGTATTACCTATACGCCGAAAAAAGATTTGTTCAAATCGGTTCATAATTGGCGGAGTTATCGCGTAACAAACATAGAAAAAAAAACATACGGGTCGAATTGAGAACCACCTCCTTTTTTTGAAGTCGGTTGAAAACAAAGGCCCTCCCACTGATTTTTTTAAACTACGAAAGGGATTTAACAAACACAAGAATTTTATTTGTTTCTTCTGTACTTCGAAGCTTACTATAAATGAAGATATACATAAACCGCTCTTGCAGTCATAGTCAACAGCTTGAATCCGCCATTGATAACTGCTGAAACAGTTGGTATTAACTACTCAATAAGTAACAAGCGTGCGCGACGTGGTATAAAGGGCGCGAGCGCAGTCGAAAGCTTGAATAATCGCTTGCCAACCGCCCAAAGCAGTCACAGCTGTTTTATGTACGTAGAATATTGTAGTTTGCTATGCAGTCGCAGCTTGAAACTACACTCGCGAGCAAAAGTATGGAATCACTTACATGAAGTTGTTTCCACGCGATCTTGTGTACTAACGAATTTGTTAGTAACAAAAAAAGTAGCACCATTTTCAAGATTAAACTTTTAACTTTAAATTGATACCAAATTCATTTAAATCACACCAGTATTTAAAAAGATATCCCGGCTGACGTGAAGAAGTAAGAAAAAAGACATGTACCAACTGTTTGATACGTCGCGAGTTGCGGCCTATTTACCCCTATAAAAGCACGTGTTTTCGGATTTTTGCGTTCACAGGTTGATCCATACACATCTCGGCTTCTTTTGACACTTTACCTGGGATTCTACACCTACAGAAGCAGCACAAATCGTTGCACTGTTGCAAGAAGGGCTCAGCCAGCGGGCTGTCGCACGTCAGCTCCACATAAGTCAGTCCTGGGTTTCGAAACTTTTAAGACGCTTTTGGGAGACTGGTGGCTTTATCCCGAGACCAAGTTCTCAACAGCGCCGGTGCACATCGCAGAGGGATGACCGTTTTTTCATGTCAACCTCTCTATGAAATCGTCATTTGACTGGTATCGACGTCCAGCAAGAGCTCAGAAATGTTCGTAGGATAGCTGTTAGCGAGTGGACAGTTCGTCTAAGATATGAGCAATAAAATTTTACTCCAAAAAGGCCTGCCACAGGCTGGAAACTGACGGCAGGTCACCGACAAGCACGCTTTCAATTAGGTCGCACTCGGAAGGCGAGTAATGGAGGCGAGTTTTGTTCTCCGATGAATGCAGAATGTTTTTGCTGTGCAGCAGTCGAAGAGGTCGGGTCAATAGACGGCCTAGGGAGCGATTTGTGCAGTGCTGGTTCGCTAAAACATTGGCTTATGGGGGTGGCTTGCTCGACCAACCCCCCCCCCCCCTAATTTAGAATGACGTAATATATGGACGGCCCCATAGTTATTTACACAAATTCCAGAATACATTATTTTCATGGATTTTTATGTGAATTCCAAAAATGTTCCCTAACACACTTATTGCTTTTACATTTTTTATTTATTATGCTCATTATAGTAAGACAATTTATGTTTCAGGCAACTATCTACTGTATTAACTTTAACCACACAAGCACTAACTTGTGTGTGACATCGGACCATGGAACAGTTCATGTATTCAGTCTAGAAGATGAGAAATTGAATAAGCAGTCAAGCTTGGCAACTGTGAATTTCTTACCCAAATATTTTTCTAGTAATTGGAGTTTCTGCAAGTTTACTATACCAAATGGGCCTCCATGCATTTGTGCATTTGGAGTAGATAAGAGTTCTATAATAGGTAAGAATTGATTATAATTATAAATTGTTATACAATTTTGTTATATCTGAGTAACATTTTAGTAAGACATAATTTTGTTTAGATTGCCTATATTTTATTAAGTAATATTATTAGCTATAATTTCATCACATTAATTTTATTTTTCAGTAATTTGTGCTGATGGATCATACTACAAATACAAATTCAATGAAAAAGGTGAGTGTACAAGAGATGTATATGCCCAGTTTCTGGAAACATCCGAGGATAGATAAATAAATGCTGCAATGATGAAGCTGGATGAAATAAGTCAGCCAAGTTTAATGGACTTCAGTGATGTTTTCTTTTTGACTTACATGTAATTGGCATCGAAGGGTCTGGGTAAAATTGGCATTGTTTTTATTTTATTTTAGCAGCAACAAATACTTTTAATGGAAGGAACACATATTATTAAAGGAACAATACATTTTATGGACCACATAGTTACTCACGAATAAAATCTGTCTCGCCTATCTAGATAATTGATTTTATTGGTTTCAAAAAATAAAAGATACCCATTAGATGTTTTAAGGTTAAGGTTTTACTCGCCTCATAATCTATAGAGGGATTCGTAACGGCATTTGTAATGAGTACAAACAAGTAATGATTAATACAAAACAATAATATGCCTGCTGCTAAAATAAAAAACGACACTACGAACTTCCCAATGGCCATTGATGTCTCGCCCTTATTTTATAATGACTGAGAAATTATAAATTGATTTGTTAAGTAGCTATGACAAAAAACCTTTTTTCGGTGAAAGGGGTTTGCCTATAGATATGAAATTTTATTGTGGTATAGTCAATGACCGCAAATAAACACGACATATGCGAGTAAAAGGAAGTGCACAACTTGCTGTATAATTTAAGGAGTTTCAACAGACATACGAAAACGCTATTTCATCTTACGCGTATTTCTTCCATTAAAAATGTCCTTATAAGTGACAGACAAAATTAAATATCCTACATAAAAGTTTGAAACTCCTAGGTTGAGTTGGCACATTCCTACAATTGGATTATTTGCATTAATATTGTAAGTAAGTTAATTAAAATATGAGGCTCACTTTTGCTGAGGCGAGAATGATTGTTTCGGAAAAAGTCCGCTTTTCATTTTCAGTGTGTAAACCCTATTTTATTAGTAATAGACACTAGTTTTTTGGATAGATGACGAATACTTACGACACGGTGCAGATTTTTTGTATTTTAAGTATGTTACAGATAAAAGCAAGTTTTTTAACTTTATAATGTAAATTATAATTATAGAAGAATTCAATGACTTACAAATATTGCAAGTTACGAACGTGTCACTCGAACATTATGTAATGTTGAAATTAATGTGATTTTCAAATATCAGTACAACTGAATTTTAATATAATTACCTATATTTGTCAAAATCTATTGCGTGTTGTGTTTAACTTCATAAATTTTATTGATTTAAACATTACAAAATGTTATCTTTAATTTTGCAAATCATAAATGCATCAAACATCATTTCCTACAAGGTCTAAATGAAATCGCGTATATCTTGAAAGGATGGCGACCTATTAATTATTGCACTTGGATTAATTAATAACACAAATGTTGTCCCGTTCTAAGAGGGAGATTGGATGCTTTAGGCAGCATCATAAAAGTACTTCACAACATTCAAAAATCCATATTGACACTGACTGAAATTTTGCGATAACGTAATGAACTGATAACAATGAGAAATCTACGATTTCATTTACATCATGTATGATTTGGACAGATTGTCTGTATGACTGAACAACTATGTTAACAACAAATTATTAAGAAATAAATTGTATGTAGTACTTATAATATATTTTTAGGACTTCTTGATGCTTGAAATTAAGAATGTAAAATATTTTACAACATAATAATTAATTCAATGCTTCTTCTTAGTATTTCTTTTTTTTATTAGCCAAAGATATCATATCATCGGTGTTTATCCTATCATCATAGTCCTAAGTCCAAAGTTGACTAAACTTGTGAAAGAAAATTAGCCTAAATTCTTAACTCTATACTCTACTGATAAAATTGTAGATAAAAAAAAATAATAATTGATTATTTAGTACATACTATAATGTGCATGGGCTTATTTCTAAGTTCATTTCCTTTTGTGTTATTTTACTGTCAATAAGTATGGATCAAGTCGTCATGAAGAATTGATTTATTGATTGTGTGCGATGGAAGTTTTAACTTGAAGGACTTGAGAATCAAAAGTACCTTATTTAAGGAAGTGAACTTACAAAATATTACCATGGATATATTTGCCAAAAATAGACAACTATGACTACTTACCTGTTTATATGTTTTGACATTAATAATGTAGGTATTCATTTATGTACTTTTGTATGCTGATATCATAAAAATAATATTTTCAATCATATAGCTATATTCAGGATACCTACTTACATGTTAATTAATTATTTTTCAAGCAGTATGTCAAGCAGCATAGTGCAATATTTAAAGGCCTTTATCAAACTCACCTTGTATTTCTAAAGTACCTAAATGTTATATTTTTTCTTGACTTATGAATACTTTATTAGATTATTTCGCAAGGCACTATTCAATCCCACGACAGGACCAATTTAAAAATGAATTTTAATGTTCATTCAGTTAATATAGGTAAGTTTAAATAATGAGTGCTTATTTGTTATTACAAAACACAATATTACTACTTATATTCTTTTTTAGACTACAATTTTCTTTAACTTGTGCAAATCAATGTTCATGTTGGAAAATAATGCTAGAATCCATATATTCATGAATAGAGGTAACCATTCCCGTTTTTGTAAGGTTTTATTTTAAAATACGAATTATAATTTTGCTTTACACAACATGTAGCCTTTTGTGATATTAAGCATACAGGAATCCTATCATAATCTGCTGCTATGTAATAAACGAAATATTTTTATAAATATCCAAACACTTGTTTTACTTATTTAATGACCTAAGTAGCCGCATTATTTCTATACTAAATAATAGAACTGGTTTTATTAAAGCTCATATTATAATTTATTAAATTCATAATTAGTTGTTGAAATTTGAGATAAAAAAATCCCATTCAGAACCAATAAATGTCATTTATTAAATCATTTTTTTAGTACATCTATAAATGTATTTCTGGGTATTTTAATGTTGGCAACACTTCTCATTTTCTTTTTCCCTTCTGCTTGTTGTTTCAGTAACTTTTTTCTTCTCGTCACATCTCCACCATACTAAAACAATATTTCAGTTTGATTATGGCGTCCATTAATGCGCAATAATTACTTTTATTAACTATTCCCACTATTGTTATTCTATATGTGCTCATTAACCCTTTAACTGCTATAGATAAAAATATTTTTCATTGGTTTTGAACTTTTCTTTTGAACAAATCGCTGAATTTACTCACCAGTTTTGCAGTAACATCTTTCCTATAAGCTTTGATAGTTTCCCTAGCAAAAACTTTTCCAGATACCACAGCTTGGATTGCGACCTGAAAGTCAAAACGAAACATTGTACAAGATTCAGAATTGATGAACATACTTATGGGCCTTCGCCAAAACTCGCGCGGGTGCCCGCCGCGTGCTCCCGTCTTTTAATGCATAGAAATGCCGCGGGCAGGCGGGTGCGCGTGAGCTGTTCGTAATAATTTTTGATACAGAACCGCGCGCGGGCGTCCGCCCAAATTTTAGCGGAGGCTCTAAATATACATTTTTAGGTACTTCATAATACACTCACCTGTACCATCTGACGGGGAATCATTTCTTTCAGTTTTTCGGTGAGTCTTCTAGCATTGTACTCTAGGCGGCTGACGTGCACAATAGTCGATAACTCCTCGACTAAAACACCATTGAGTAGGATATCCATCTATAAAGATAATTAACTTCATTATTATTTGGTAAAGTTAACAACTCCAGCCTAACTGAATTGCTTGTTATCACAAATCACAATAGTTCAGCGATCGAGGGGGTTCGGAATAACGACATTATAATCGGCAGTCCGACACTAAAACCATTGAGGTAGGTATTGTTACCCAAAACATTACTTTATAAAAATTAAACATTTAAAAAACTTACTCTAACTAATGCACTGGGGTGAAATCCATAATCCTGGTAATCGAAACTGGCAAATCCTGAAGTTATACTTTTTAGAGTATCGTGAAAATCAATTACGACCTCGGATAGTGGCAGTATAAATTGCATCATTGTCATTTGGTCATCCACAGCACTGGAGGGAAGGGGCGTGCCTCGACGGTCTATGCAAAGTGTAGTGACTGGCCCGATATACTCGACTGGTGTTATTATGGTACCTGCAAGATTAGAACGTCTACATAAGTAGCGATATTAATACAAACAACATAATATCTACTACTTATTTAAAAAAAATTTAAGAGTGTTAAGGTCGCAACACAAGGGCCCCCGGTCACAACCACAAAACGGTCGGCCTCTTTTTCTGTAGTATTCATACGTTCTATGTGGATTCGCCGCTGCTCGCTTCTTGTGGCCAGACGCCATTCGCGCGCCCTCTCTCTTACTCCCTCTCTCTCTCACACCGACCACCGTAGTACTTATTCTTATCTATGCCGACCACCGGCCACAAGCCACAAGTGACTGTGGCGCGCTTCAGCTACCTACATTTTGTAGCCGCTTTTAGTTTCTCCGCGTTTGTGGCTGTGGCGTGAAGCCCATGTGCAGTGACGCTTACCAAATATTTTGCAGACACAAACCTATTACAAATGGTTCGAAATATTCAGCAATATTCGAAGCTTCGGGCAATGACAAGGGATTTGTTATAATAACTTCTTCACCTTTAAATTCTTTAATAGCTTTAGCTCCTTGTACTCTGAAAAAAGATACTCATATTTTTTATAACAGAATTATAGGACAAAGAACAGAAAAATAATCAATTTTGAAACTTACTTTATTTTATATGGAACAGAAGGGGCAGTCAGTATAGCTTCCGCCTTATATTCTTGTAATAGACGCTGAGTGAACACATCTAAGTGGAGTAGACCTAAGAATCCAACTCTCCAGCCTTGGCCTAGTGCAGGACTGTAAAATTTATAAAAATAATGTTTAGGATTTTTAAACAATAATACTGGCAAATACACTGTTTGTTAATGAATAAACAATAAAAAAAAATGTTTAGGATTAAGCCTAGGCGCAGACCACCGATTTTTTGTTGGCCTATAGTTTAGTCAGGCAGTTAATCAGTATATGGAAATGTATGAAAGTGCCCACATTACACCGATTTGGTATCGGCCATTTCTTCATACAAATTAGAAGCCCAACTATTAGCCAACTAAAAGTCCATGGTCTACGCCTAGGCTTAGTGCACATTTAGTTATTAATAACAACTTAAAAGGTTGAGATAATACCTAGTATCATTCTTTACAGACACAGCAGAATCATTTAAGGCCAGTTTCTTAATAGCATCACTGAGGAGTGTGTGTTGAGATTGATCAGCTGGAAATATACCAGCATATACCATGTGTCTTATAGCTGGCATGCTGCTGGCATTAGCATTCTCTGAGCACTCGATGGCAAGCAATTGATCGCCGACATTACCACCTCCTCTTGGCCCACAACCTGAAACAGGCAAGAAAATGAATATTTTTTAAGTCAGATTTGTAATGTTTTTTTTTTTTGCATTTATAATTTAATATTTAACACATTTAATTTTCTATATTTTTCGTGTCACTTATTTTAACATATTAATTTTTCATTTGAATGAAAGAACTGCCTCAGACAGAAGTACAGAACTTGAACCCATAACCTTCTGCTAGTGATAATATGACTGTGGCAGTATATTTTGCAAGTTAAAAATCTCAGCTTATTAAGTATTTATAAATACAACACTTACCTACCATTACCACTTGACCAGCCACAGCTTCTTCTATTGCTTCCTCTTTAGGTCTCAGAAGTGCCAAATATTTCACAGAATGCTGCTTAGTATCAGACCTCCATCTTACTGATTGGCCAACTCTGACCTTGCCAGAATGGATATATGCCAAGCATAGAACTCCTCTGTATTTGTCATGCCATGTGTCTATTATATGGGCTCTAAAGTGATCGTCATTATTTACTTGTGGAGGGGGAATTCTTTGTATTACAGCCTCTAACAACTCCTTAACACCCCAACCTTTTTTTGCAGATATACTCATTACTGTGTCTGGTTCTATATTAAATACAGATTTTAGTTGTGCCTTCACTTTGTCAGGATCAGCTCTAGGTAGATCTACTTTGTTTAAAGTTGGGATTATCACTAAGTTGTTTTTCTTGGCTAAAGAATGGACAGCAACAGTTTGGGCTTGAATACCCTCATTTGCATCAACCAATAGTATTACCCCTTGGCAAGCAGTAACACTACGAACCACCTGAAAAGATAAAAAAGCAGTAGAAAATTAAATAAAACACATATTTACGATCTTAGTTTGATAATAAGTAGTTTACCTCATTAGAGAAGTCTACATGTCCAGGTGTATCTATCAGGTTCAGTAGATATTTCTCATTATTGTGTGTATAATCCAATGATGCTGTAACAGCTTTCACAGTGATCCCTCTCTCCCTTTCGACCTGTTAGCAATAACATAACACAGCGACATTAGTCGTTGGCTACCGCCAGAAAGCCAATCAGTAATAGAAATCCTAAGTCTAAATCTTATAAATAACATTTTTAATGTATCACTGTTGTTTTCTATAAATAATAATTAGTAGATTCAAAGATAAGCTTTTATAACTATGGTTATTACCTGCAAATTATCCAGGATTTGTGCATGTTCTGTGCCTGGCTTTATAACACCAGTTAATTCAAGTAACCTATCAGCAAGGGTGCTTTTTCCATGATCGACGTGCGCCACAATACTAAAGTTCCTGATCTTGTCCACTTCAAAACCGCTGTTTCCAGAATCTGAGCATTTCAAGCGCTTACCTATTAAGCTAAAATGAAAACAATGTCTTGGAATAATGCATATAATTGGTGTGAAAACATGAAGTATACTTACTAGATTGATTTTACCTTGTATAAAACCATGTATTTGGTAAAACACTTGTATTCCTCAGCAGCCTGGTATAATGTATCATTTTTCCCATCATTAATTCAGTTAATGTTAGTAAGTTTATTAATCAATGTTATATCAAACATTATTCAATTTCAAATCATAACCTCAAACTCTCACTCAGCTGTTAAATGTCACCCACCACGGAATGTCAATGTCACAGATACATTGACAATAGTTTTTTTATTGACGCATAGTCATCAATGACATACACAAAATAATACCGATGAAGTGGAACTTTTTGATATGCACCATAAAAAAAACAGCCAAGTGCGAGTAGGACTCACGGATCGAGGGTTCCGTACAAACTTGTAGGTATGTAAATATTTTATTCCTGAAATTAGGGCTTTCGAGCTAAACAATCATGTTTGTTGACAAACAGACCGGTACCGTTTTTACTCTTTGGGTACGGAATCCTAAAAACTTATCTATTTTATTTACCTACTAATTTATTTCAATTTACTACTTTAACATGTCCCTAGATATTTCCCTAAAATTTTAAACAGTGTGAACCATAGATTTGGATAAATCTGTGGTCTCTCCCTTTGTAACGCCACTCGATTTAACGTCAAACTTCATATAACATCGAAATGGTGGACTGTGGTGTTTGTTTACCCAATTTACCTTGTTTTTTAAATAAATATAGGTCTACGAGTACCTTACAATTTGTACCTACTTAGCATCACGCTCATGCTATTCGCTATTATAGCTAAAACAATACCTACGGCAATCAGCATTACTCATTATAACTACCAACCTACACAAACACCTACTTTTTTGCCGAAAACAAAGAGAGGTGCTGTAGCAGGTACGTTATTTCTTTACTTTGCTGCTTTATTACTTTATTTATTTGTTATGTTGCTTTATTTATATCTAGTACGTTTGACATCCGTTAACTTCGACTGACGATTCTAAAATTGTGTTTTTTAGTTATGATGAACTTGCACGACTAGACTTGTAAGTTGTTACACGTTACTTTATCATTTGTAGTTGCTTACAGACTTTCGAGTAAACATGGCGAGTAAACGAAAATCCTTGTGTGTTGACGAAAAAGTTTTATTAATACGCTCAATAGAGGCGGGAGAAAAGATAAGTGATGTTGGAAGACGATTTGGATTTAGCCGCTCTACTGTGTCTACAATATGGAAAAACAAAGAAAAAATTCTGCAAGCAGAGGCGGATGGAAAATCTGCTAAGAAATTAAAAAAACCTCAATACGAAGATCTGGATCCACCGATGCTAGCATGGTTTTATAATCAGCGCCAGAATAATGTGCCTGTCTCAGGGCCGATCATGAAAGCTAAGGCGGAAGAAATTGCCAAAGAATTAGGATTAACTGCTTTCAAGGCATCAGAAGGATGGCTCGGGAGATTCAAGCAACGTCACCACATCGACTATGGTAAAATTAATGGAGAAGTGCAAGGTGTTAATGCGTATTTGAAGGTAGAGTATGCTCCGAATGACCTTTCTACCGCTGGCGAAACTGGAATATCCTGTAACTTGGCAACTCACAAAACATTGAAATTTAAAGCAGAAAAGTTTGTGGGAGGAAAGCTCTCCAAAGAGCAGGAACAACAAGTGAATGAAGAAGATGAAACAGATGAACCTGACTCTCCACCAAGTATTAAACAAGCACTTGATGCAGCGAAAGTATTAGAAAAATACTTTTTATATAATCAAATTGATCCAGCAGCATCTCAAGTTATGAGTAAAATACGTAATAAAATACAATTGATGTATTGGAGCAACAAAAACCATCAGACGAAGTTAACAGACTAAGGCAAAACGTGTTGTTATTTGCAGTACATGCATGTTATTATACATAGAATTCTATTTAACGCCGAAAATGCTCTGTCCTTTAATGTCGTTATAAAGAGTTTACAGTTTTTTACACTGTATTTTGTTAGGAATACTTGTGTGCTTTTGTCTATATTTTAGCGTGTGTCGTTATTCTAAGAAAGACACCGTCCCTACTCTTTTCGTTGGTCCTTCGAACCGGATATTAACCAATTGTTCAAATTAACTACAGCCTTTACAATAAAAAATATTATTTATAAATATTAATTTTTTATTCTATGCTTAATAAACATAATTAATAATAACAAATAAAATGCAACTAAAATATTTACACAAATGTAACAATAGTACTGGACGGACAAAAGGACGGAATCATGCGTGTTACAATATAGGACGGATTTAAAATTAAATATCCTCCAACAAACTACTCACTACAACTGAAGTACTAGTACAGTCAGTGTCAAATAGTGACACCCAAAGTGGGCACAAAGTTGATAACACTACCTTATTCCATTGAGGGTTTTCGCGATTGAAAAATCCGCCAGATGGCAATACGTAGACGCGAGGTCCAAATGCTGCACGATTGGTGGATTTTGACATATCTGTCAATGTCATGTCAAAAATAACCAATCATGCAGCATTTGGACCTCGCGTCTACGTATTGCCATCTGGAGGATTTTTCAATCGCGCATTGTAACAGACGTGCGATCTTTTTGGCTACTTTGAGTGTCACGAACTATTTGACGCTGACTGTACTTATTCTATATGTTACGGTCAAAGTGATAAATGTGACAATTATGAATAATCGCCGGTTATTATGAATAATTACCGCATGATTTGGTAAATGTGATTAATATGAGGTCATTTATGTCATTTAGGTCACCTTAACCTATTTTTCACTTTAAATCAAAACATTATGTTATAGGCATCATGGAAAAGTAATATTATGCAAGAAACATTCCAAACTCATTATGCCAAATTATATTAATATATGGTATCAAAACGTTCAAAAGTTTGGCTGTACACAAACACGTACACAAGATGTTGTTCTCTTTTATGAAATTTGTTAGTACTAAGGTTGAATTATTAAATAATCACTGTTAAATGTGATTAATTTATCACTTTCACCGCGACTGTCGGGAATTATTCATAATAACCGGTTATTATTAATAATTTTCAGTTTACCATTTAGTGTGTTTTACTAAGTAGTTGTAGGTAGATGTTAAGTAAAACTCGGATGCCGTAATAAGACTGAGATATTTATTTCCAAAACCAGGGTTCTTATATTATCAAAAATGTATTCCAAATAGTGGGTCGTCAAAATAAAACTGCGAACGCATCGCATAGCTCGCTAGTGTAGGTAGGCCGCTGCAGCTGAAATCTACGCCACATAAATACGGCGCGTGCCCGTTGTCTCGCTCAGTGCACGGCAAGGATTCGTACGGGATGGTCACGCCGCTGCTCTTGCGCATGTGACGTCACCCATCGCCGGCGCACGTAAATACCGCGCGCAGCCGCCGTCCGTTCGCGCCAGTCAGTCTCAGGCGCGCGGCGCGTGCGGTCAAGCGGTGGAGCAATATTGATGATGCGATGACGTATGAGCTAGGTGGCTACATCACTCCCCCCTCAGCGAAGCGTACGGGAGGCTTCGATGTTCTTCCTGTTCTTGTGACGTAGGTGTGCAAGTTGTTTGAGTGCTTGGGTGCTTCAGCGTCTTCAGCTTCCGTGTTTATGATGAATGCTGGTTTCAGTCTTTCAATTGAGATGTTCGTGCGTCTGAGTGGCATTTGAATGGCGAAGTATTTGTCGTTGCGATCGATGACTTTGAAAGGTCCGGTGTAACTTGGTGTGAGTGGCTTGCGTACGGCATCGTTCCTTACAAATACGTGGGTACATATATGTAGATCTTTATGCACGAACGTAGGCCTCGACGACGATCTTTGTTTTTGCGCTTTGTGCATAGCTTCTGTGAGGTCGTTATGAAATTGTGACGATGTGAATGACGTCACCGGTTCACCGTAGAATTCACCGGGTAGACGAAGTGCTTGATTGTACAGTAGTTCGGCTGCGCTGTGTCCGATGTCTTCTTTTATCGCTGCTCGCAATCCCAGTAGGACGGTAGGTAGCTCGCGTGTCCAAGTCGTGTTGTTTTGAAGGCGAGCTGTTAGTGCAGTTTTCAGCGTTCTGTGCCAGCGTTCGATGATGCCATTCGTTTGAGGATGATAAGCAGTAGTGCGTGTTCGATGAATTCCTAGGCGTTGTGTTAGGAATTTGAATATTTCTGATTCAAATTGCCTGCCTTGGTCTGTAGTTATTATCGCTGGGCAACCAAATCTTGATANCGCCGCGGTGTTTCATTTTTGCTGTTTGCAGTCAGTGCGTATGTTAGCGGTTTGTGGTCGGTGTATATTATGAGTTCTTGCCCTTCAAACATGCGTCGAAAATGCCGGATTGCCATGTAGATTGATAACATCTCTCGATCATAGGTGCTGTATTTCTGCTGGGCGTCGCTGAATTTTTTTGAAAAAAATCCGAGCGGTTTCCATCTACCCTCTATTTTCTGTTGTAAAACAGCTCCAGCGCAGGTATCGGAGGCGTCGGTCATCAGGGCGAAAGGTGCGACTGTCGACGGATGCGAGAGCAGGACGGCGTTAGTGATGTCTCGCTTGCACTCTTCGAAGGCTTGTAATGCTGCGTTGTCCCAATCAATTCTTGTTTTATCGTTTCTTTTCGAGTTGTGCATGTATTTGTTCAATGCATTTTGATGTTGAGCGGCGTTTGGAATGTTTTCACGGTAGAAGTTAATCATTCCTAGGAATCGCCTGAGTTCGTGAATTGTAGTCGGTTGCGGGTAGTTTTCAATAACTTTCACCTTCTCGTTTGTTGGCTTGATACCTTCAGAAGAAACATTGTATCCCAGGAATTCTATGTTTTCTTGGCCGAAAATGCATTTGGCGGCATTAATCTGTAGGCCATTTTTTTCTAGTCTGGTGAATACTTCTTCTAGTAATAACTTGTGCGAAATCTCGTCCTCCGTAGCGCAGAGTATGTCATCAACAAACGAAAACACAGGTAGGCCTCGCATGACGTCATCGATGTGTCGTTGAAACGTTTGGCCAGAGTTTCTCAAACCGAAGCACATTCTTGTGAATTCGAATAGGCCAAACGGTGTGATGATGGCGGTCTTCTTAATATCCTCTTCACGGATTTTAATTTGGAAGTAGGCCTTTTGCAGGTCTATTTTCGAAAATATCTTCTTGCCTTGCAGGTTGAAGGTGAAGTCGTGAAGTCTTGGTATCGGATATCGGTCTGGGATCGTTACAGCGTTGAGTCTTCTGTAATCACCACAGGGACGGTATTGGCCATCTTTCTTCGGTACCAGGTGAAGTGGGCTTGCCCATGGGCTGCTGGAAGGTCTGCAGATGCCCTGATTCATCATTTGACGAAATTCTTCTTTAGCTACGTTATATTTGTGAGGCGGTAGCGGTCTTGCTCGGCAGAATATAGGTGGTCCGGTAGTTTCAATGTGGTGTTCGACTTCAGTGTTGCACAGATTGTTCAGGCTCGGTCTGGTAATCTTCGGAAACTTGGCGAGTAAATCGTGGTAGGGTTGAGAGTCGTCCAACGTTCGAACGCTGCCTTGTGTTGTTGGGATGAGACAGCCTCTTGTAGATAGATTTGTTTGTTTATCTATCAATTTTCTTCCGTGTAAATCGACCACGATGTTGTAGTGTTGAAGAAAATCTGCTCCCAGTATTGGTTTCGATACTGCTGCGATGACAAATCTCCAACTGTATGGCCGCCGCAACCCAAGATTGAGCACCACTGTCTTTTCGCCGTAAACAGATATTGAAGAACCGTTGGCGGCGTATAAATAATTACTCGGTGCGTTTCTTCGTTTATCTGCCTGAGTTGCGGGTAGGACGGAAATGTTTGCGCCGGTGTCGATGAGAAAGTTGAGAGCCGAGGTTTTATCTTTAATGAAGAGACGGTGGTTTGATATTTCGTCGACTCCAGCCCCCGTCGTTGCTTGAGTCGTTGTTAGTTTAACGAATCTTCGTTCTTGCTGTTTTTCTTAAATTCGCAGGGCTGCTGACACCGGTAGGCTTCCTTGCCGAATTTTCTATGAAAATAACACAGTGGGTCCTTTCGTACACGGCTCGCAGATCTTGAACGGGAACGGTTTCTATTGTAATTGTTTCGACGATAAGCTCCGCGGTTACGGTTCTGTTCCATCTTAAGCGATGCGATTTCTTTAGATAGGGCGTCGATCTTGCTCAGTAAATCTTCGTTTGTAGTAGGCTTCGAAGTACTGCAGGAACAAATAGAATTGACTTCTTGTGTCTGTTCTGTCATCTTATCAGCCATTGAAGCGAGGAGGTCCAACTTTGTTTCAGCACTGATGGCGAGTACGGCACGAACTGATGAAGGTAGGTGCCCAGTCCACATCACTCTCAAGGTGTTATCTGGGACTCTGTCAAGTGCTAGATCACGCATCTTCCTCAGCAGCTGTGAGGGTTTTTGGCTTCCTAGCTCCATCTCTCCGAGTAGTTTTTGAAGTTGTCTGGACTCCGATTCTTCGTAGACAGATAGTAATCGTTGTTTCAGAGCTTCGTATTTGTTGCTTTCCGGTGGGGATAATATTATATCTCCAACTTGCTCGATGTCGGCCAGTTCAAGTTGAGCCACGACGAGATGATATTTTGCTTCGTCTCCCATCTTCTGGTTAGCGATAATTGACTCGTATTGTGCGAACCAAAGTCTAGGCTTTTGACGCCAGAATTGTGGAATACGGGCTTTAACGGAGACTGCTGCCATTTCTTCGTTGTGTTGTGTGGCTTCAACCGTTTTCTCGTTGCAGGTGTTCATGCTTGCGTGGGTCACCAATTTAGTGTGTTGTACTAAGTAGTTGTAGGTAGATGTTAAGTAAAACTCGGATGCCGTAATAAGACTGAGATATTTATTTCCAAAACCAGGGTTCTTATATTATCAAAAATGTATTCCAAATAGTGGGTCGTCAAAATAAAACTGCGAACGCATCGCATAGCTCGCTAGTGTAGGTAGGCCGCTGCAGCTGAAATCTACGCCACATAAATACGGCGCGTGCCCGTTGTCTCGCTCAGTGCACGGCAAGGATTCGTACGGGATGGTCACGCCGCTGCTCTTGCGCATGTGACGTCACCCATCGCCGGCGCACGTAAATACCGCGCGCAGCCGCCGTCCGTTCGCGCCAGTCAGTCTCAGGCGCGCGGCGCGTGCGGTCAAGCGGTGGAGCAATATTGATGATGCGATGACGTATGAGCTAGGTGGCTACAGTTTCAATAGAATGTGAATGAAACCATAATACAGACTTTAATTCGTACGTAATTGAATTTGTTTCTTTTAATCACTAAAAAGAAAATTAAAATACGTAGGGTTTAAATAAATACATCAGAATAAGGATTTGATTGATGATCGTCTCAAGTTAACCACTTGAGAAACGATTAATCGCATTCGGAAGTCACATTGATGAAAGAACTTCTTGGGTTCGTCTTCGCATTGGAAAAACAACAAAACAATTTAAAAAACTTTTCTCTTGATAAGTACCGTCTCTCTTCCCTTGTCGGTTTCAGCCGAGTTTTCAGCTACGGTAATGAGAACCTTACGTTTCTTTACACTGATTGAAAATCAAATAACAGCATAGGTGTATGTGACATCTAAATATCAATTTTCCATTGCACTATCACTCATATTCACAAACGAAGCTTGCGAACGAAGCAGAAAATTGAACGCACAGCGTTGAATAGAGCTTTGTGATTGGTTCGTGTATAACCACGCGCACTGTGAGATCTCATAGTAATGTTTGTGAATAGGGGCGTGAGTCTACATTTGGCAGCAACACGGCCCACTGGGCAAGCATGTCACGCGCTTCGTTTACTGTATTGGACCTAGCAGTAACGAGATATCACGATCGTGTGATTTTCTACGAGTATTATGCTAGAATCTGTACTTCTTCTAATTCTTATTTAGTTTGTTTGAACGCGCTAATCTCAAGAACTATTCGTCCCACTTGAAAAAATGTCTTTGTGTTGAATAGTCCATTTATTGAGAAAGATTTTAGGCTGTTTACCATCACGCTACGGTCAATAGAAACAGAGCATCCATGAAAAATGTTTGAAAACTGGAAAAAATATTGAAAGTGATGTCGCCGCTGCTTTAAAATACGCCAGAGTTAAGATGAAAATTTTCCATCTACAAATAATTGCCCTTCCAATAAAAATATTTATAAGAAAGCCATAGAAATAAATTTTCCTGTTGTCTGCAACCGAACTGAATTGCAGTGTTATTCTAAAAGTTTCGCCTAAACTTTTTCACACCCGCAAAAGCTTTCAAAGTTGCCCCATCCCATTCAAAAGAAAGGAAAAGAGTATATCATACAGCGACCATTGAGCGCTCCAGCATACTTGTGAAATGTGAAAATATTTTCTCACAATTTAAAAGTTTTTTTCCACGGATGTTTTGGCAACGGTCCACTGTGCGCCGGGTGGCTCGTCGTAATAAATGTGATGCTGTTTGATATATTATATGAGGTGTAATTGATTTTGGTATGCACAGTGGTGTTATGAGACTGAATCGAGTTTTTGCGGCTTTTAGCCTAATTGGAATTTTCATTCCATTATTTTAATTGTTACCGACGTATCATAATTTTCTAGCGGACTACATCCAAAAGCGGTTTGTGAAGTTTAATATTAGGCTCTTTATTTAGGTTAAACAAGAGCTTCCTCGTTGTGGATAAAAAAAAACAGACAGGCTCAATTAGGACATACTCGTACATAAAATATAGAATTACAATAAATAAGTATTTATTATTATAATTACCATAATTTTCTGCGTCTATTTTCTTTTCTTTTCAAAGTTTATTCGTAGCACTTTGACATCAACTTGTTAGTTTGTTGGTACAAAGTTGTTCCATTACTACGTACGTACTAGACCCTAAAAAGCCAAACATGTCCGGCTAAAGCCGGACGCCTGGCAACCCTACTTGCGAGGGTGTTTTTGTAACTTCAAACGTCAGCGAGACTTCAGAACTCCTCGATTTATATGCTCTAGCTGTCATGTCATAATATGTCAATGTCACTCCCATACCTCAGGCACTGAGTTAAGCGCTAGACATATAGCTATGCTTACTCAAATCACTCTGTCACTAAAAGTTGTCAAATTCTAATCGAACTAGGACAGGAGTCAACCGAAGAAAGTGTGATTCTAGTGCTCAAAAACAACCAACTTTTTGTACAGATCCAACATTGAAAGCTGAAAAAAAATACAATGCTTACTGAGTAACTTAAAATTTCATTATTGGTCCCATACAGAATAAAAATTATTGTAAAATATTTAAGATCTTTTGCATCTCAACAAGTTAATTATCTAACACCAAATATGTGCTCTCATTTTGTTCCAATCATTAGATGAACAAGAACATACTAACAACATTTCAAATAATCTTGTCAGTAAGGCAGCCGGAACCGATGGCCCCCATACGGAGTAATGATGAACCGCCTCCGAGCTACCAGCAGGGCGCTGACAAAAAGGCTCGTAATCGATTGCCAGCATCGATCCCCATCGGGCTTAATTTCACTTCCCGTATGAACATGGGGTGTATTCTGAAAGCGTGCGAAAATACTATTATATCCAGAGATATCACGGAATTTGGAATCAGTTAATCATTCACAAAAACTTTAATTTTTGCTAAGACTCTAATTATTGCCTTTACCTACCCGTAATTTAGTATATCGTATACATCATTCTAGCCCATTGTAGTAAACTTTAATCAAAATCCATCCAGTAGATATTGCGTAAAGAAGTAACATTAGCCATCAATTCAGAAATCGTAAGCGTTAAAAAAAGGAATTTGCATCTAACAGATACCAAATTAATTCATCAAAGCTGTTCACTGGAGTATAGCGGTGCATCGATGTGCAACGTGCAACGCTGATGCATCCATGGCTGGCATTCCACCAAATATTCGATGTGCGAAACAAGAAAAATAAACAATCGACTTTCTATCGAGTGAGTTGTGATAGCCCATATTTTTAACTTAAAGGCATATTTTCAAAAACTCACTAGCGTTTACGAGTTTTATTTAATTGTAAAACTGCCCAATTCGTTCCTTTCAAGGATTCGGACAGTCCTACACGTTTTAAATCTGACTTTTTGGTTTAATTTAACTAAATTAATAAACCAAAATATCCATGACAAAGTAGGTGAACATTATGACCCATTTTAAACACATTTTTTTCATTTATTTACCAAATAAAATTACAGAAAATTTGTTTCTTTTGACAGCATTTGTTGCTACATCGATACTTACGGTTTAAGACTATTTAAAGTAGTAGAAAGAAAGTAGAGTGGTTCCAGAATAGCCCCCCGGTGCAGTAATCATTCTTGCGGGGAAAGTTACGAGTACGAGCTTCGAGCGCTGATTTGTTGCGGCAACAGAGCTTTTTTGCCCTTTACTTTAACATACGTAATGTAATGTAATGTACCTACCATGGTAATGTGAGGAAATACATCGTCGTCTTACTTTGAGAAATAACAGGGTTTTTGCTACATTTTTACTCTGCCTTCACGCCGCAGTTTCAGGTTTTAAATTATAATAATTATTAAACCACTTTACTTGTTCTAATTTCAAAGGTAATGTTTTAAAAATACGAATTGAAATCCTCGAAATGGCATCAGTTAAACTTACAGTTAACAGCATGCTACCAACTTAAAACAAAAATAACTTGAAAAATACGAACTTTCTACGGTAGAAAACTCGATTTTTTTTTAGTTAATTAAAATTTAGTTTGAGATTTTTAAGAGAGTGACTCTTAAACGCAAAGAAAATCACGACAAAATCTTACTTTATTGTAAAATTGAAATATGTTAACTACATACCTAATTGTTTTCTGTACATTTTGGGCACTAAAACAAAAGAAGAACAGCTCAACCTATCGTAGAATATGATTAAAGGTATCTCATTTCCGAAAGTAAAATAAAAGTGAAACTTCGTCATAATGTTCAGAAACAATTCACAATCTTCGCAAAGGTCAGCCACCTTACGGGGTTATTACTCTATTAATTATAATATGGACATTTCTGGAAGACATTTTGTCTTGCTCGGCTTAATAACCTTTACAAGAATATAATAAAGTTTCTAAAGGCCAATCTATAAAGGAGAGAACAGAGGCATAATGTACTTTTTTTTGCCGATATCCCAATTATCAAAATGTTATTGAGCTTAAGAGTAGGCGCACACAGTTGATTTTTCGTCGGCCGATAGTTTAGTCGGGCAGTTGATCAGTATGGGCATGTAAGGGAGTGCGCACACTACGCCGATTCGATTTGGCCGATTCTTTATACAAATTAAAATCGGGCACAACTATCGGCCAACTAAAAATCAACGGTGTGCGCCTACTCTAAACCTCTTTAAGAACTAACGCCCGTATTCACAAACGATGCTTCCTTAAGTGAAGCAGTAAATTGAAGGCACACCCTGTGCTTCCACGCGCACCGTGAGACCTCATAGTAATGTTTGTGAATACTGGCTTAACTATCCTGACAAAAGAGCCTGTCTTTTAAAGGTAAGATAATAGGACATTTTGTACTAAAATAAAGTTTTTACGTGCTCTATATTTGACAACACCTTTACACCATCTTTCATAAACCATAAAACTGCCATAAAATAATATTTTAATAAATATAAAAAAAGAAATTAATAGAAAATTCAAATTAAGTAATGTAGTAACAGAATGTCTCAAATGAACCTCACAACAAAGGTTCAAGTAATTTAATTTTATCAAGATAGAATTGAATAGGGCAAATATTTATTTTATTTCATCTAGTTCTTA